AAAAATCCCACCTGCGCAAAAATGGGGGCCCCACAGCGTCCCTTTCTGAAAGAAAACAAGCTTTAAACCATCAAACCCTCAAACCCAACTTAATTCTGGTCTTGGATGGCAGGTTCAAATGAGGCCTGCAAGGCACTGCATGGACCTCAGCCGTTGCGCCAGGCCTCTGGCCGCCCGGGACCAGGCCGAAATGCACCGCGGCATCGCCTTGATTCCACAGAAGCTCCCTGGAGTGCTAACTTATATTACGAGCATGTCCACGGAACCCACTTCTATGCCTTCCGGGTCTCATGCAGCTCTACATGCGTGTATGTGCGTGCGCTGCTCTGCTTAGTTCTCCAACTGCTGCTGCTGCGGCGGCGGCCATCGCTGGTACTAGTGCTAGTGATCCTGCTACTGCACGACAGAAGAAAAGAACAGTGATGACTGAAGTTTCTAGGCAACAGCCGGCAAGGGACTCTTCTGCAGTGCTGCATCCGACCAAGACGGCTCCTCAGTGCGTCAATAAGCCCATTCATGGCTCCCAGTCTTCTTGGTGATTCATGGATGCTGTAAGGACATGTAGACGTAGGATAAGTTTGTTGGTATGCGTATTTCACGTGACTTGGAAAGCCTTGGCCCTCTGCCAAAGAAATGTGTATGAGCTGTCATGAGAAGCACCTGTCCCAAGACTTTGGGTTGTACTTCAATATCCCTTCTGCAATGGTTTCACGGCGTTGGGGGAATCTGGTGGCATTATCTTGCCGACATCTGGGATGATCCTCGTGAGGGACCTCTGCACCAATACATATCCTGCCCCATTCAATTGTAGCCCTTTGAACATTGAATATTTCCTTCATATTACCACCCCAAAACCCTAAACCCTAAACCCCAAACCCTAAACCCTAAACCCACTTTGCTTGGGCCACAGTTCGGTGGAAGCCACAGCTTCACAGCAGACCCGGCCATTGACCATCAGCTGCAGCTTTTCCCCGTTGCCGTCGTATCGAACCTTCGAGCATCGGAACGATACTGGATGAGACATCTTTACCACATCCTTTGCATTGTCCTAAACCCTACATAAACCCTATATAATCCCTATATAAACCCCATAGAAACCCTCCCTAAACCCTAAATCCTTAAACTAATGGGCCTCCGCAACACACTAGGAGGCCAAGGTGATGGATCATTGCCAGCATACTGCCTATACCCCCCCCCCCCCCCCCCGGGGTAAAACGCTTTCCATGCTTTGACACAGGGTTTAGGGTTTAGGGTTAACACTTCTCCCGCATATGCCTAGCATCATAGGCTAAGGGAGACTATTATTAGAAATCAAATGGAAAATTCAAAGGAGACTGGGGGGCTTCTGAAATCAGGACCTGCGCTTTGGGAAACTTCAAATGGTCTTCAGGCACAAGTATTCACTACCCTGGCTGTGCCTCGCAAAACATCCTTGTCTTTCCTTAAAACATCTCGCATTTTCGAGAGCCCCCGATCTGAGGCATGTCTATACACTACCAATATCTATGTAGATAATGCTATATGCCTACATATCATCACATATATTCATTTATAGAACAGCCCTACATGTCTCAAACACACATCCAACCCAGCCAGTGCCCTCATACCATCCCCTCAAAGCCCAAGAACGGACCGAATTTCTCCAAGTGAGGGTACCTCAGGAGTCTTGGGGATATGTTGAGATGATAAGGGAACTCTGGGGGTCATTCGGGATTTCCGCGGGGACCACCCAATCTCGGGTGTGCCAGGCAGCTGCAACGGACGCCCACTCATCCGAGTAGGATGAAAGGCAGAGGCATCCAATTGTGGCTTGTGATGTCGAGTCCTGCACCGAGTTTGGGTCTTATAGGGTTTAGGGGGTTTAGGGTTCGGGGCTTAGGAATTCAGAATTGTCCACAAATTCTGGGCCCTATATTCAAATCCTTGAAAAGGATGTGTAAATTCCCACGCACGGGCCTAACTCATTATCAGCTAGTATCATGGCGCTCCAGTCCTGTCTTTCGACCCACAAGCCCTTCCCTATTCAAGCTACGTAGTGCGCTACAAGGTCCCCTCATGTGAGCCATTGTCTAAACTCCTAGTATCCCCCTTAATAAGCCCTATAATAGTCCTCTATATAATGCCCTATATAACCCCCTTTAAGGAGTTCATGTGGCTTCCGCTTCTGGGTTTGGGATTGAAAGCTTCGAGCTTGCTTTGGCAAAGGCAAGCGCAACAAACCGCACTTGACGGTGCCGTGTGCATCTCTTTGCTTTCTCCTGCTTTTCTGCAGCCTGGATACTGAATCTGTGACGGAGAACAAAGCAAGAGATGTGGTTTTACGCAGTAGCAATAAAAGTGGGGGTCCTTGTATGCTCGAAGTCGGAACTGTTGGAGCGACGTTGTCACGAGCTCCCATGCTCCATGCTCGCCGGGCCCGCCTTCATCATGGGGGGTTCCTGTACTTAGGGGTACCATTTTGGGGGTCCTTATAGTAAGGATTATACTATTTTGGGTTCTATATGAGGGTCTTGGGAAATCACCATGTCTGCGCCCCTCCACAATAGACAAATGCCGGGCATCCTTACCCCTTGTCCTGCAAAAATGCAAACCTCTGCGAGAATCATGGAACTCACATGAACTCACCGCACAAAGTTCCTGTTGTGGGCTTTCATCCGGCCTTCCTTGAGCATTACAACCTCCTCGCTTACCTTCGCATTCCCGATCAGCTTCATGTAAGCCAGCGCCTCGTGACTTGGAGCACCAGAAACCAGGCTTGTGACCGCGAAGACAAGAAAAAGATGTCAACAAAGCGCAAAACGTTCCGGTCTTGCGAGGCAAGCTACTGTAAACTCAGCGGACTTCGTCACTCCAAGCGAAAGGCCGTTCTTGCCATTCAAGTGATATGCGTGCCCTCGGAGGCATGTGCTGCCAGCAAGAATTCCGAGCCTCTACATGGTTTGCGATAGGTGTAACTTTAGGATTCTGTAAGTGCACATACCTGAGCAGGGTATGCCGGCTAGCCCAAGGCACTATGAACTTTGAGTGCACGGGAAGTTGTTGAAACCTTGTTTACACAAGCTACTGTAGCTTTTGCTGGCAACTTACTCCACATGCCTTACTCGGCATGTCTCACCGCAAGCGGCTCCATAAACAGGCACGGCAGGTACTCAGTAAGCTTGCAAATCAACACCCTCCAGTCTCTTTCGATCTGTCTTGGTGTCCAGTTCAATTTACCAGCACTACTCTTACACCAACTGCGGATGTTACATGTCATCTGATTGCGATTGCCTTGATGATCCCATCCTCCTTTTGCCTCGCACTTTTCTCTAAAGTTTCCACCATCCCCCGAACTAGCATGGAGCCTCGTGTAGGTCATTTGTAGGGACGGACACGTCTCTCTTGCGGCGTCCATGTTAGTTTGGGACAAAATAAACCCTGAACACTAGATCTCTTTGTGAACCCCTGTGAATCCCCTATAAATTCCCGTATCCTTATCTGAGCTATACTCTGCACTCCTCGTATCCCCCTTCATAAGCTCTATAATCCTCCTCTAGATCGTGGATGTGATCTTCCATGCCCTGCGCACCCAAGGCCTGCCAGACACAACGGAGCACATACCCCATATTCCCCATTCAAGGAGCTTAGACTACGACCCAACAGAATGTAGCCCGAAAACAAGAAATCCCTAAATCCTAAACCCCTATCTGAGTATAACAAATAGTAATAGTAATAATAATAATAGTAGTAATAGTAATGGTAATA